TAACTCAGGCCGATGTTGTGTCTATAAGTCACGTGAAATGTTGTGCCCGTAGCTTTCCCCTACCATAATTGATTGGGTTGTGTAACATGTGTACCTCACGTGTTATGTAATTGTAAATATGCAATGGCAGGTGACCTACGCTACATGACCCGTATTTTTGAGGCCCACTTTCGACGTTAGGACAAGGGTGAGCATTGAGATGATACTATAGTAGAAAGGATACTACATATAGCAAAATTTTGCAAGGAATTTTTTTGTTAAGGCGCAGAAGGTGGTTTTATAATTAAAATTTTGAGTTATGAACGATATTTTGAAAAAGCTGGCAGTTTGCTTTGTACATTTTATGCGGTTGCTATGTAAGTTATAATACGTATTAGTTTAGTATTCAGTATTGCGGTTTGCAAAAAGGTGTGACCTCTGCAGATTATTGCAGATCATATAGTCATAGTGTAATATAAAATCGCGGGAAATTAGACGATTTTTCGATTCTAAAGGGACTATACATATTTCCAAATATATATAGATATCACAGATTGATAGAAAATAAATCTCCGAGATTCCCCACTATCATTATCACGAAAATCATGATCGCAAAACCGCTATATCGTAAAATCATGCTTAAGGGAAATCGTGGGTCATACCTTTCTGCAAACCGAAATAATGTCTATATTTATTTGGAAATTTGTAAGTATAATTTCCTTAGAATCCTATTTTTCCGAAATTTTACATAACACGATGATCTGCGGAGGTCAAACCGCAATAACCATTCCATTTTTCTTAATTGGGAAATTTAGTCCCACGCTGGATGTAATTTTAACATCACGATCAAAATATTTGTCGGTTTTTTGCATATGTTAGCATTTTCATTCTTAGAATATATAACAACTTTCAAATAAAAAAATTAAATAAAAAAAATCGAAATTTTTTTGCTATTTATAATCATGACTGATGACACAGATTATGTCTTCGTTTTCATTGCAACGGATACAAGACATAGTGACACATCTTCAACTTCACTGATTCAAGAAAATTTCGGACACCCAAGTTCATACTGGGCAAGTGGTTCAAATACAGCAAACACTGCATTACCAAGTTATGAAGAAGCTGTTAGGAATTCTGTAAATCCTACAAACGTTATCATAACGCCCATAGCTAGTTCTGTATCACAATCGCTTGAAGAAATTTTAGTTTTTCAAGATGAAAATCAAGAAATCGTCTCAGAACATACACCTCTCTTGCCCAATAATACAAGTGGTTTTGGTACGGATAAATCAAATCACATTTTCAAATAATATAATAATGGTAATAATTCGTCTACTAATGAAATAATTAATATCATCAAGTTGGGACATCTATACCTGCAATGATACCACCACCTCCTGAATATTCATTGTCTGATGCATCTTATAAAACCAGTGCCGAAGGTGTTACTTCTTTTGATCATAAATTGAATACAGATGTTAATTCATTATATAGATTTTTTGTGGCGAGAAATGATAAACCTCAAATGGCGATAACTGTTATGGTATTTTATATCTATTTTATATCTATTTTATATTTATTTTTGTTTCAAAATTTTACAAACAACAATAACGACCAAAATTTCACTTTTAAAAAAAGGGATACCATACAGAATCGAGAGATGATAGTTATTATACTGTTGATTCAGATGGAAATTCACATCGGACGAATCAATCAACGAACGTAGAAGTTGTTGATTTTAAGCTAACTTTGGACCTTTCAGATTATATTTTACCTACAGGGGTTATATATACAATTCCGAAAAAAAGCCACCCGCCACAAGGGGTTATGCAAGTATTAAGGGAATATATTGAACACAAAAATCTTTTAAAAGAAATTGAGATGCGAAAGGTATATTATTAAATTTATTTTTATTTTTATTTTTTATTTTTATTTTTTTTTGAAAAAATTATTATTATTAATTTATTTAAACTAGATTGTAATTTGGGATTATGAATCTTTAACAAGAGCAATTTCTTCAACAATTCGACAACAAGGATTTCGTAATGACCTTCGTATCACTTATCCACTTCGTAATCACATTGTTAAAGTTCAATCTGATCATAAGTTTGCACATTTTGTAAGAAATCCTTGGGTAAAATTTATATCAATTATTACATGTCTTTGGATCATTTTATGGCCCTTATCATGGTTATATAAGAAAACATTTAAAAATCAATTGAGAAGTGATTTTCGAATGAGTATTAGTCCTGGGGATTGGTTTCAAAATAATATTGAATTGATCACTTCAAATTTGAGGTGGCTTTAAAAGATTATTGAATAAGAATAATGGAATTATGTTGGTTTGGTAGTTGCCGTGAATAAATTCTTTGAA